ATGGGCCAAATTAAATTTTAATTATGTTCAAGAATTAATTTGGGTCCAATTAAAGGATTTAATTAAGTGTAAGGACTTAATTATACTTTAAACTGGGTCAAATTAATTTTATTTGGGGCTTAATTGGTGAAACATTAAGTTTGAGAGCCTAATTTGAGCTTAATTGAGAAGATTGGAATTTTAAAAGATCAAATTTAACTTTTACCATGTTAATTGATTGAAATTAGAGGCTAAATTGTAAGAAAATTGAATTTTTTAGGTCAATTAGGAGCTAAATTGAAAAAATTCGCATCCAAGAACCAATCTATAAAAGACGCCAAAATTAAGGGGCTTCATTGACAAAAAACGACGGTGAAATTAAAAAAATTGGAAATTTAATGGTCAATTAGGGGTTTAATTGACAAAATCTAATATCAAGGACCATATTGTAAACTACGCGTAACTTCAAGGTCCAATTGAAGTTCTTCAAAGGCCTAATTGCATTAAATCAAAAATTTAGGAGGACTGAATTGAAAATCATTAAAAATCCCTAATTAATCCAAAATGATGCTATTTTGAAAAAAAAAAAACCGGACGACGCGTCTTGCAACACTGTTCTCTGTCTTCCCTACTTTTGCTTGAAAATACTGCCCGAGTGGCTACTTTTCAGATGCATTTAATGCTTCATTGCTCCGTAAAATCTAAAAAAAAAATGCACAAGAATGATCTCGTGTAGTTGCTTTGCAATGCCGACTGAACAATTCAGTCTGAATGGTGATGAGATAGCGTTGGCGCCGGTCTAAAATAGCCAACTCAGGTAGCCTTTTTTGCAAATTGAACAACTCATGAGGCACAAATTGAGCCAACGGATAGGATGCTTCCTAACAGAATCAAGGGCTGAGTTTTTTTCCCTGTGTAGATGAAATTACCCTCTTCCACCGGCTATAAATAGAGGCAAAGTTAATTGCATGAGGGAGGAGAAAATTGGGTCCAAAAATTAAAAAAAAATCAGCCTCCTTCGCAGTTTTTTTTTTTCTGTAGCAAGTCTCTGTCTCTACACTCTCTCTCCTCCGTGTTCTCAGTGAATCCAAGCCACGCTGCCACCAAAGCAAGTCTCTGTCTCTACACTCTCTCTCCACCGTGTTCTCAGCGAATCCAAGCCACGCTGCCACCAACTCGTTTTCCACCCTCTCCACCACACTTATCCCTCCCCATCGAAAGCTCCTTCTTTTTCCTCCATGACGGCAGCAGCCAATCAACACCACCATTTTCGTGTTCTTCCTTCTCCAGTATTGGCAGCAGCAGCACCGACTCCTCCACAAACACCTCCACCAGCTCCAGGGAGCCTACCTAGGCCACCTCCAACCTCACCCCAGGCTAGTGACATCAACTTCTTCTCCTCCGCAAGGTTGCCTCCCGCTTTGCTCCGCCATCAGCAACTGTGAAGTTGCATGCAAAACGTGAACTTACTGTTCACGTTCTGCAATTAATATATAATATAATATTATATATATATTTAAAAAAAAACAAAAAAAATTCAATTTTTTTTTGAAAATCCTTTAAATTTTTTTGTAATTTTCTTAAATATTTTTCTATTAATTTTGCATAATATCGGATTGTATATTTACACTGTAAAATACAAATCCGGTATTAAAATACTCGGTTTTCTCTAAAATATTCCAAAATATTTCAAAATTTTCAAAAAAAATCTCAAATTTTTTTTAAATCAATTTCCATTTTTAAAAATTATTTTCATGCATACAACTAAATCCTAAAAAATTTTCCAAGCATGTTTTCATTAAAAATTACACATTTTTCATGTTTTGAAAACCCAAAAATGGATATCATAAACAATTTATAATCATCCATTAAGGTTTGAATAAAATATCAAAAATATTTTTTTAATTTTTTCTTAAGATCAGATGTAGACTTTAATATTTGTGGGTGTAAAATTACACGATAAAGTGTACCCTTAGGTATTAAAGATACAAAGTATAAATAAATGTAATGCTAAAATTTAGAATGGTTAGGATGTAACCTAATAAGGGAGAGACTCTCTCATGAAGAGAAATCTGCCTTAAACCTTATATAAGACCAATAAATAGAAACCCAACCTAAAAAACAATCAAATAACAATGCAGCTTACCTTAAGTAGAGTGCACTGGGGGTGATGCGTCTTCCTCTTGCACAACCAGTCCCTTACTCAGACTCTCGCAGACCATAGGTTTCTAGTGACCACAATACTATGTGGTGACTTCTAAGAATTAATCATAATTTTTCCAACACTCAACACCCCATAACAAGAGGCACGACAGAAAGCCTCCGCCGTTGCCATACAATGTTGTCCCCATGACATGTGAAATGGGTTGTCTTTACTTAATTGTTTTGCGATGAAAGGTGTTTATGACTTAGTATTTTTGCAGAGGTTATTGCCTATAATTAGTGGAAACCAAATATAAAACCCAATATCAAGATTATTCATGATAGGCAAAGTTTCTTGCAAAAAGATGTTCAGTTATTGTAAAAGCTTATTATTCTCGTGACATTATCTAAATATCCAATAAATCATGTCCCTCTTAATGGCTTTTTTTTTAACCCATTTCGCTAGTATTTTCTTATAACAATCAACATTATTAATGGGAGTATAAATACTTGATTCTTACTAACATCTTCCTTGTATTCCATTACATTATTTCCAAAAGCAAGTTTATACACTATTGCACAATTATAACTGCAACATACATAGTTTTAAATATATTAAATGCAAGACATAATTTTCTATAGCCTCTCTTAGGTTTTGACTATTTTAGCTTAATCAATAACATGGCCTTTAATTTGATCCTATATAAGTGCTTATAAAAATACTCTTCCATCTTTTTCAACTATTATTTAAGTTGGGTAATATTATGGAGAATTAACAGAAAATTATTTTGGTTAATGATAAACATATCAACCTTACTTTGACATAAAGGTTGGATATATCATGACTATATTGATTAGTGAACTTGGTGATGTGTTCCCTCAATAATTTGTTATCTTTTCTAGAAAATTACTTGAAATCTACAATCTTTATTCCTTTAAAGTTTACATGTAGTCTATCAACTTATTGGAAGTATGGATAATTGTAAACAAGTCTTATTATCTATCCTACCTTTAACTCCATTTCTTTTAAGTTTTAGGTTAGTTTAGCTCTGTTTATCCCTCCTCTTTATTGTTAATCAACATTAGGGATTTGTTGCTGTGCAAGAGAATTGAGATTTCTCTTGTTATAACATAACCTTTGAGGCACAAGTTTAAACAATAACAAGTTATGGTATGGAATAAAAGTACTATGAATCCAAGTAATTAACTTATAATTATTTATATATTTAGGGAGTGGTTAGCGTGGTAATTACTATCATGCCAAGGTTAGGATGTATTTGTTATTTTGTTTGATATGCTTGGAAATACCTTTATGTGTTAGGTATACTCATTCTAAACACTCATATTAGAATGCTTATTATTACTAAATTCTCTAGGATATGCCTCCTCAAGTGTATAGATCCATACATTATTATGCATATTCTGACAAAGCTTGTTCTGCATCTTATTTAACTAATCAAATATAACTTATATAGTTTGATTGACCATTATGATATTGTTTGTAGTAGGTCGTGTTTGTTGTTTTCTCCATCTTTATACTGAGAACTCTTATATTAATATTTGAGATATTTACAAGCTAATAATAAAAAGTCCTTTCAGTAGCAACTATAGTTGATTGACTAGGATTTATTATAGTTACTCATGAACATCGTATAACGCCATCTAATCCATAAACATGGTATATATATGGCTCTATAAGGGGTATTAATGCGCTAATATATCCGTTTATAGTTGGTGGTGATGAATCCATTGAAATCAATGGAAATGTAAGAGGCTACATGAAGATATTACAAATGTATCTAGATTTAGTTTTTTGTTGTGATAGTGAGTTAGACAATGAAGATCTATCTTTAGGTGCATATATAAAATTGGTTAGTTCATTGGAAAATAAGAGAAAAGACAGGTTATCAAGCTTTTTATGATTAATAAATTGGTTTGTCTCTATTGCATGTACTAACTATTTGTCTAGTACAATAGTAACAAGTTTACTTATGTGTTTTTAGACATGTTTTAATGACTTCTAGAATAAATATTGAATCAAAAGAAATTGTGGATGTTATATAAAGAACAACGGTGTAAAAAAAAGGGGTTTTAAAAAGAAAGATTATAATAATCTAAATATAACAGAAAACAATAAATAAAAATAAAATCAAAGAAAGCAACAAAACCATCTTGGGGAAAATATTGATAAAATTATAGAAGTGAATATAAAAGATTGATCACCATTTATAATAGTATCTAGTCCTATTCATATTGTTATAGGAGTTTGAATCCTAGTTATATAGGTAATCATGATCCTATATGAATATTGATAAAAATATTTATTAATTCATAATATAAACCAAACTCCTTTTTTATTGATACACATGAATCCAAGTTAATTTAAAATTTTTAATTAGTTCTTATGTTGAAGAATACCACTTTGAATAGAAATTATATCTTCTAGTTATTTATACTTGTTCAAACACTATTGTCATCAATTATAACTTTTAGTTGTTTGATCGACAATTTTTTCATGCCTACTATTTAATTAGAATTCTTTCATCGCGACTGATTTCATTCTACTCGATAAATTTTAACTCCTTTCCTCTATTTTTTTTTTTTTATTTATGTGGGGTGTCCGGGCCAGCTTGCGCACCATAACTAATCCCCACGGCTCACTGAATACCCTGCAAACCCAATAGATATGTAAGGCACCGTGAGGGTGACAGGCGTGCACCAAATCTATTTTGTTGTAAATAATCCTTGTTGGAAGACACATGAACGCTTATTTTTGATGTAAACACAATGCTCCAAGTCATATCTAGAAAAAAAGTGGATTTAGATTTGACATGAATCATACCAACCACCGATCAAGATTGTAACCCAATCCAATAAACTAAAGAAACAGACAAGATTTTGATTGCGAAGTGTTAGATCACTTGCCCAGTAAACACAAACAAATCATTAAATCATCAGTTCTAGCTATCGTAACATTTAGAGACCTTGCCAAGCTTCTACTACATGGCTGCTCGCTGCCTCAGCAGCTTAAAAAATCAACCCTGATAAAATATCGTCAACAAGCAAGGAAAACAAAGAGAAAGAAGCAGGAAAGTCGAAAGACTTCCCTGGTCGGCAGCATTCTTTTAGAACCAAACAAATCTAAACCAACAGCAGCAGCACTTTGAGCAATTAACTTCTTAACACAAAGCAATACTTGCAACTCAACCGTAGATCATCTTCCCAATCAGTGCAAGAAAAAGAAATCTAAAATTTTGAAAATATACTTTCCATTTAGCAAACAAAAATTAACACAAAGCAGCTTCGCCATGCGAAGGACCCAGTAAAGAAAACTGCAAAAAGATTCTAACTTCCATTTCCTCTCACTTCTCCTTTCCTTTTCATCATTGACCCACCAATCCAAAACTGATATTAAAGCAACCCAATCGATTTAAAGACATAGATATATGGTAGAGAGTCAAAAGAAAAGAAAACCAACCTCTGTTCATGAGGAACCAAGGGACACCAAAGACGAGTGATGATGGCCATGCCAGCTATGACATGCTTTGTGTCCCCACTATGCAAGTGCGATTTACTCTTGACTTGAATCCTTCGCTGTTGGCTTTTTTTTTTTTTTTGCCTCGCTTCCCATTTTCTTCACTTGCTAAAACAAAAGGACAAGCTTCCTCTGCTAAACACCATGCCAAGCTTCTAATTTCTCTGCATTTTATCAACAAGAAGAAAGTGGGTACGTGTAAAATCATTACGGATACTTGACAAGATTTTTTATTTCAAGGAGAAATAAGTTTTAATTATCATAAAAGAAGAAATTGAACGAGAACCATGTAGGAAACGAGCGTACTAGATACTTCCTCTTTCCTTCTCCACCCCTATTTGGTCTACCAGGTATCCTGGAGCTAAGCCTTCTTTTTCCCGCGAACTGCGCTGTACAATCTTCTGTCATGCGCCTTATGCCGAGTTCACCTCGTGTCCAATCATAGTTACAAGGCCACATTAAAAAGAGTACATGGGCGGGAGGTCTCTATCTCTCACAAGGACAGGTGGCAAATCACTAAAGATAAGACCACCACTAGACAACCGACAACAAAAGAAAGCACAAACATAAGTAGCCACTTGTTTGTAGCAGCCATCCATAGCTTTACCATGTCAGATCCCCAAAACCTACCTTCTTCTTCTGCTTCTTCTTCATCTAATAAAAACCCCACCGAAATTAAACCCGGCAACGGCAATTACGCGGGTCAAAAGGTCCATTTCCCGAACCCACCTGAGACAACAAATCCGGACCCTGCAACACTGAGGGAACAATGGAGGTTTGCTATTAGGCAGTACAGCAAATGGTATTCTCACGCTTGGGGCACTGCTATTCTGGCTGGTGTTTCGTTTTTCGCGCTTGGCTGGATCATCAAGGGATCCAATCCTTTACCCTCTTCAAGGACTGATGATTCCTCTTCTTCGCCTTCTAATGATGCTAAAGAAAAAGCAACCCGATAATTGGTGAGTTTTAATTTATTTTTAATATATTCATGTTTTATGGTTTGACTTTTGATCTGGGTTCCAAGATTTTTTTGGTGTTGGTGATGAATGCATCTTTAATGAATTTTGATTAATTCTAGGGAAATCAAGAATAATTAAGTAATCAATAGCTTCGAGGTATAGAAATGGAATGATCAATTTTGTGCTTAATCAAGGTTCGATCGAACATTCTGATGAAATAATGTCTCTCATTGCTCAACAATTATATAGAGCAACAGCTGATTGCTTCAGAGAGTTATCTTATAGGCTTGAATCATGGATGTGACCTGGTTTATAGGGTGGTGTTGAAAGCTGCTCTGTGAACTTTGATCAAGTTGATGGAGTTTGGTGAGGGGGTCAACTCCTGCCAAATAACTAATGACACTGTGTTCTATAGGCGTAATGCTATCATATATAGACTTCTTACTTGTGTCTCTGTAACCTTTGGACTCAAATATGGCTTCAGTGGCGGGTTGTGAAGCTTCCTATCCCATTTTTTTGATTCTACAAGAGTTTTGTATTCCATGTGAACTGCGATTTGGTTTTTCCTTGAAGACTATATTATGTTCCATTTTGAATTATCGTTATGGAATCTTCTTTTCAAAGGTGGAATCATCATGTTGTTGGTCTTATACATTGGATAGTTGTTTAAAAACAATGAAGCACCACCATGGAGCAACAATTGTGCTACCTGCTAAATATTTTTTATGCTATTATGTGTAGTGGTAGTTCTTCATTCATAGAATTATATTCTTCCCATTGGTTTACATGGTACCGGGACTGTAATTGCTTCAGTCATCTATCATTCATTCCTTCGTTATGTTTACTCTGAGATCTGGGTTTTACCCAAAGCTGTGACAGGATAAAATTTATTCAAGTTATCTTGGGGTTCCTTCTCTTCACTCAATGGGTTACTGATTCATGATTGAACCATGTTTTGCAGATGCAATAGAATAATGGGGGATCAGCCTCTGTTTTGGAAGGTTTTTACAACCGAGGTTCTTACTGGTTTTTATGTACAGTTCGTACAAGTTTTGTGACTTACCTTTTGTGTTCAGGTATCAGCCATTGTATCGGCAGGTACTTACAACCAAGGTTCTTACTGGTTTTTATGTACAGTTACAAGTTTTGTGACTTACTTTGTGTTCAAGTAATAACGGGATTTGTAAGCTAACCATGTGGATGTCGCTGGGCTCTTAATTTGGATACTCGCCTGCATTTTCTCTAATCCGTACAATTGACTCTGAATCCCCTTATTGAATGTTTGATCAAGGAGGGGGAGAGAGAGGATCGAAGTTGAAAGTGTTCTCTCGGCTTGATTTGTTATTTTGTTTTTTATTTGCAAGGAAATTAAATGGAGCAATGTTCAGAGGATTATTGTGTTATGCTAGTTTTAAGTGCCTGATATAACTACATTCAATTTAATTATTTCATATACTAATATTTACAGAACAAAATCGACAGCTTGGAATGTATCGAAGTCTCGCATATTGTGTAGAATGCAGATACATGTGATGCATCGAGTAGAGTCTCGAAACATGAAATTTCGGCTTTGGGCTTTATTATTTCGTGCTCCGTCCAAGCCAGTCTCCACTCGTTTAAGACCCAGACAACCAAACTTAGAATTCATAATTTAACTGATTAAGAGAACAGCAAATAAGCGACTGTTTGGTTTTGAAGATCCAAAATGGGCTAACCATTCATCTCTCGTTCTTGAGACATGGTAACATTTAACAGTTGAATATTTTTTGTCAACGTAGCATATTGTCAAATGGTCAGCTAAACCTGTATGCTATGAACAGGGAATGGAATCCCAAAGACGATAATCTGTAGACCGGGTCTTCAATATTATTCTGAGAAAATCTTGAAACATTTCAAAACTTAACAATGCTCAAGATGAGCAACATCCAGCCTTTTTCTCAGCCGAGACATCATCTCTGCTGCCAACATTAATTGTCTGTCCTTTGGGCAAATATGTTCCGTCACATCCAACGTCAAGAGCCTTCCTGCTTACAACACGGTAAATCTGGGTCAGCACCTCTGTGAAAGCATTTTCAACATTCATTTGATTCGAGGGCAGAAGTCTCCATGAAAAATGTGTTCTCTCTTTTAGGAAAACCCTTTGCATCTTCAGAGGCAACTGCTCGGAGGTGACGCTGGTCTGCTTTGTTTCCTACGAGCATGATCGCATTGTTGGCATCAGCGTGATCCCGAAGCTCCTTCAACCATCGGTATCTTTCGACCACAAAAAAAAAAAAAAAAAAAAAAAGAGATAAATTTGAAGTGTCCCGGTAACTTTCGACCACAATAAATAAATAAATAAATAAAAGAGATAAATTTGAAGTGTCTTTTTGATTTCTAGCATAGTAAAAAAAAAATGATAAAAAAATAATATAGTGCAATGAAGAGAGAGGAGACGGACAAAAAAAGGGCAAGATAGGCTGGACCTTTAACATGGGCAACACATTTGCCATGAATTAATTCATGTCCTGCCACTGCTGTTTTTTATTTTACCGTAAAGGGAAAGATGGGCTGGACCTCTAGCCCAACTCACATTTACATACAATAAAAAAAAAGAGAAATCATTAGGAATTTACTTGACCCAACCCAAATAAGCTAACCTTAGGTCATGGGCCCAACCAGCCAGCTCTTAGACTAAGAGTGTATTTATCTAATACACCTTAATGCCTTTCCCTTTATTTTTAATTTGTCTTTACTTTAGTACTTAGCCAAACAAAACTTTAGAAAAAAATACTAAAAAAGTTTGAAAAATCTCTAGGACCATTTTAAAATTATATTTTGGTTAGTCACATATTTTCTTGATATTTTTGCCAAATATTTAGTTGTATACTTACATTTAATATTTAAACCTGGTATTAAAAATATTTGATTTTTCTCTAAGATTTTGAAAAACTTCAATTTTTTAAAACTTTTTTATATCAAAAAACACAAAAATATGTTTTTCTTTGAAAAATCTAAAAATTTCTTATTTTAGAAAAATAAAAAAATATATTTTTCTTTAAGAATTTCAATTAATATTAGACTGTAGACTTACATGGTAAGATATGGACTTAAAATGAAAAATTCCTGATTTTCTCTAACAATTTAAAAAAAAATCCAAAAATTCCCTCATTTCAAAAACACATAAAATATGTATTTTTTTTTGTATAAGACCAAATTCTAAAGGTTTTCAAGCATATTGTTTAAAAAAGATAGTCATATTTTTATCATATTTTTAAAATACAAAATCAATATCATAACTTGTTTATAATTATCCATTAGAATTTGGTCAAAATATCAAAAATTCTACACAATTATTTCGTTATTTGAAGTGTTAGGATTTATATATAAACTTTAATATTTATGGATATAAAATTACACTATAAAGTATAATCTCAGGTGTTAAAGATACAAAATATGAGATAAATACAATTATAAATTTAGGGCCTTGAAACAGTTATGATCTAACCTTATAAGATAAGAGACTTTTTCATGAAGATAGATTTTTCTTGAGCTTTAGATATGATCAATGGATAGAAACTTGACTTGAAATAATAGTAAATCAATAATATAGCTTACCTTAGGTACGGTACATTGAGGGTGATAAGTTTTTCCCTTGCATAACTAATCTTTTTACCCAAACTCTCACAAACCATAGGTTTTCTATTGACTATGATACTAGATGATGATTCCCTCTAATCATAACTTTATGATTAAACTCAAAACTTCATTCACTTTTAGAAGGCAGCTTTGTCATTCAATGTTGTGCACATTATGACAATGATAGTACAACTTTACTAGACTAGAAGGATATAGATATAGTAAATGATACATCTATACATTTAAATTTAAATTTTAAAGTAATATTAATTATATTTTCCAGTTTTACATTAATAAGCATAACTTATAATATAATTGTTGGATCAGGTGGGGATTTTATAAGAGATTTTAAGAGGTATTTTTTTATATTGAGTTAAAATTTCATATTAATCAAAGCTCAGGAAGGTATCATGATACATGTCAGAAGGTGCTGTATGATTGTGTTATTTATCGCCTTTTGACTTGCGAACTAATTATTTGGAAAAGATTTTTTTCCTAATGATACAAGGATATTCAACAATTATTATTGCATGCCGAGAGAGATATCTCTTGTTTTGGTTATTTAAAGAACTTCTCTTAATGTATAAAAAACTAACCAATCTTCGTGGCATCTTTCATACTTCTTATTCGCGATTCTTTATAATCATCAGATAGGGGTTTGATTATTGTAGTCTTGGTGCCTTGATACAAGTTATTATTATATCAAGCTTAATTCAAAAACTTGAATTTAGCTTTTGTTAGGATATGTGATCAATCTTGCCTGTGAGTTTTTAGATTTTTATATCCTTGAGATTCACATTAGTTGGTATTATTTCATTATTGTCGTTATCTAAAGCCTAGTTATGGTAAAAGTAAAAAAAGGATGATTATTTGAGATTTGGTTGTTTATGATTTATATAAAAAAATAAAAAGAATAAAATTGGAAAATTAGGTTAATATGTTTTTTTGTCAACATTTAATCAAGGTGATGATTCGAAATCAAATCTTTTTTAGGAAAGGGTAAATGATGCAAATCAATGAACATTATCAAAAGATCCATTATAAGTACTAATTAGGCCCATTGTAAAGTCTAAAACTAAGAGGATCAAAGATAAATTGATTGGGTTGATTTTAAATATTTGGGTTGATAAGTTACAAATATGTTATCCTAGATCATCATGTACTTTTTGGGATATATCTCGAGATAGAAGTAAAATTTCATTGAAATTCTAGTTGGGTTAGAAACTAGACATTTTAAACTTTCCTCTATGTATGATAAGCCTATTAATTCATTTAAATAAGAGAGAACATGTTTAAAGTTAGGCTAGAAGTTGTTGTAAAAGTTTTGTTATTTGTTTCTTAATGATTTGTGGACTTCTTATTTAGCAACGATTCATTTTCTATTAAAGAAGTATATGTGGTAGTAATTGAAATTATTTTGGCTAGGGTTTTCATGTCATCAACTTATGTTTCCTTTTGTTTTGTGGATTTTTTCATTGACAAAGTTTCCCTAATTCGAGAACGTTAGAGGTGATTTTGAGATTATTTTTTATAATATATAATTTTATGTTAACATATATAATTTTTTATTCGACTGTTGGATTTAGGTTGATAGTTTATCAAAGATTTTCAAAGATCTTGTTTTATATTAGGTTAAAATTTTAAGTCAATCGAACATTAAGAAAGCCTCGTAATAAGATCTACAAGTTATTATGTAAGAATTGTATTAGTTTTCTAGTTAATTTAGGATTCTTTTTTGTATTTTATTTAGAGCCCTTTTGTTAGTTTTCCAATATCATTTAAGACATTTTTACCTAGTATAAACAAGTTATTTAGCTTGTAAATAATTTTTTTTGAACTTTGATTTCAATAATTATTATTGTGAGTTGGGAGAGATTTGTTTTATTTTGGTTCTTCAAAGTATTTCTCTTGACTTATCAAATAATTAACTAATCTTCAAGATATTTTTTATATTTCTTGTTCATATAATTCTCTATAATTATTGAGTGGGGGTCTAGTTATTATGCTTTTGGTGACTTAGTGCACAAGCTCTTTGTTCTTTAATATGTATAAGTTCAACAAGCAATAAATATAAATGTTATTAACTAATATTAATTTCACGTAAATTCATTTTTTTTTCAAAATTTCAATTTGATCATAAAATTGACAAAAAATAATTGAAACTCATTAAATTACCTATTATTTTTTCAATTCTAACACAACTAAGTTATAAATTACACTCAATCTCATTAAATGACAAATTAAAACTATTTTATCTAAATTTCAAAAAGACCTTAAAATATAAATTCTACATTAATACACTAAAGTTTGAATTATACAATAAGTGAAATACTTAAATTTATAAGTGAATTTCAATAGATTAACATAAAACATAAATAGATGATTTTAGACTAACGAGTTCAAGTTTGGACTATCCATCTTGTTGATTATGAAAGATCTAGTGCTAAGATGATAGAACTCCACCGATTGGTAATGGAAATGAGATTGCAGATGAATGGCACATGTGCTTCCTCTTATTGGCCCCACGACCCCGGTAATGACATGTCTCCTCCTCTTCTAGCGTCGCTATTTTAGATTAATTATATTTGAATTTGTAATAAATATTTAATTTTTATATTAATGTAATTTATTTTAATTATTTTCTACTTTTGTTTAATATATTTTTTTAATTTTTTAAATTATTACTAAAGGTGTTACCAATGAACTTAGTCTATTAGTATATTCTAGAGAATTGAAAAAAATTACTGCAAATGCCACTCCCGCTATTTAATGACTAGTGAAATTCCAAACAATTTTTTTATCAGTTATATGTCAAATTCACCTAGGAAATACCAACAAACAAAAAACATTCACTAATAGAATTACATATGGTTTTTATATCGGTGATATATTATACTTACCGATGAAAATACTAACGAAATAAAGTGAGTAATTTTTTTATGACGTGCTTTTGCCGCCAATAAATCCATAGGTAATTTTATTTTCAATGGACTCACCAACAAAACATAAATTACCAACGAGAGTTTTACCAATAAAGTATTTATGTCTTTAAGCTTGTCCATAAAACTCATGCCAATAGACTAAGAATATAAATACTAATTAAGAATTTCATTAGTAAATCTAAAAATTATTTAATGGATGAAAAGAAAAGAAACCAGGGGATGAAAGGTTCGGTCTTGGAAGAGGTGTTGCACTAGCGGGTTCTGGTGGTAGAATTAATGGAGGTTCCAGGAAGATAAAGAGAGATGGGGAGGTTTTCATATGAAAATGAAAGAAGATTTGTTGAGGTTGTGTTTGAAAGAGTTGTTGAGTATTATTTATTTTTATAAATCTTTGAAAGGATTTTTATCACTATTTTTATCAATGATTTGAAATATTAAAAATACTAATAAAAATTCTGACATAATTATTTTTAAATTTCATTACCATTTCAATCGAAAATTACTGATATAAATTCGTAAACCACAAAAGAATATTTTCCATTGGCATTTATTTTAAATTCGTAAACCACAAAAGAATATTTTCTATTGGCATTTATTTATTTTAACTTTCTAACAATCTAATAAGATAATATCCTTAATTGTTATTTTAGATCAAATTAACAACGTAATAATGTACTAAAACAATTGATTAGTTTTTTTTTTTGTTGAAAGACATCACAAGTGCTCATCGACAATTAATAAAACAATTAATTCAATATTTGGATTTTGAAATTCTTCTGATATAGCTCCCTCATTCTATTTTAACTATCATACATATCTTTCATCTTCATTATTTTCACTTGACCTCAAATTTAATAACTCTGTGCAATCCTTAGGGAAGTCGATGGTGAGAAGGAAGAATCAATTGAGCCACTGTCCATGGTGAGAAGGAAGAATCCACTTGAGCCACTATCCATGGTGAGAGTCTATTTCAATCCTATCATTAACTTAGAGGATCACCATAAGAATCTATCGCATTTAAATGGCTGGCAAAAATAAGGCCATTGCCAGACTAGATCGATATGACATCCAATGGGAACCTGGAAATTAATCAATGAATAATTTTTTATCCTTTTCTACATGTGTAGCTAGGTCCTACATTAGAGGCTAGTTGATGTGTAGCTAGGTCCTACATTAGAGGCTAGGTGATTCTCTTCTGATCCTATATGACGCCAGGGCTTCCTCCACATTGCATCTATCCTCGGCTCCTGTACTTTGCTTACAAGTCGTTAGTTTTCTTATAGCAAGCAAAAGATATGGCTCAAATTGGCAAGGAGGAGGTCAAGAAACCAATTCAATGCTCTGAAGTTAAGTTTTATGACGTCTACAGGAACGAAGCGTACCTCTTGCCGACGATTTCTCCTTGTAATGTTAAAAAAATTAAACTCGGTGACGGTACTTCTAGTTGGGAGAGTAAAGTAGGCTCCCGCAAGCTCGTTCACTTCGATGAAGGTTTGAACTCAGACTTCTTAAAGGAGGGAGACTCTCATTGACATTTTCAATCTTTTTTCCTTAAGATAATTATCTATTAATTACTTTGTTCCATAATTTTTTTTTTATAGCATTTGTTTTCCTTAAGCATACATATACTTTAACAAGCAGCGGCGTTGTTTTTTTAAAAGCCTGGACTTGAGGATTTCAAGGATGAAGTGGTAGAGATTCACCCTAAAGCCAAGAAAATCACCTACAAGGTGTTGGAAGGAAACATGATGCTTTTCTATCACAGCTTCCAGGCAACTCTTGAGGTCACTGAAGGCACCGCGAAATGGACTGTCGAATTTAAAAAGAAAAATCACTCATGCCCAGATCCTGATTATTACTTGCACCGTTTAGATTCCGTCAACAAGGATGTTAATGCTTACCTTCTTCCTATTAACTAGGAACAGCCCGACAGAACATGCCCTTTGTTTAAGTGAATTAATTTACCTAGTACGTACGTGGCACTGTGAAATAAACGCTTCAAATTAAAGGTGCATGTAATTCCCAGGCCCCAGTATATACTATAGAGCACTTTAGATCTTTGGATCCTTGGATGCCATCAGTTAGGCTGTTGATGCTTCCCTTCTACGAGGTGTGTAGCATGAAAAGATAAGCCTGGTACTTGTACAATAATTCAGGTGGCCATCCTGTGTGTAACTTTGCATGATCTAGTAATAACTTTGGTATCAAATGTGAGGCAAAGCCCAACATACTGGATATTGTCTGCTTTGAATCTTTTAGTCTATCTATTTTCGGGCTTCGATCTAGATCCCTCTCACAGTTTTGTTCCTAGCAGCCACACATGGCTCCAAAACACGTCCAACATATTAGCAACCAACACCGCTTATAAGGCCTCAGCTTTTGACACTCCCTTTCGATGTGGGATCTCATAATTCCCCCACCTGAAGACGAGCCATCCTCGGCTCTGATATCCAATGTAACGGCCCGACCCAACATACTGGATATAATCCGCTTTGGGCCTCCTAGTTCACCCATTTTAAGGTTTCGACCCAGCTCCCTCTCACAGTTTTGTTCCTAGCAGCCACGCATGGCTCCAAAACACGTCTAACATATTAGCAACTAGCACCGCTAATAAGGTCCTAGCTCTGGACAATCACTTTCAATGTGGGATCTCATAATCCCCCCACATGAAGACAAGTCGTCCTCGGCTCTGATACCAAATGTAACGGCCCGGCCTAACATGTTGGATATTGTCCGTTTTGGGCCTTCCAGTCCACTCATTTTCGGGCTTCTACTCAGGTCCCCCTCATGGTTTTGTTTCTGGCATCCACGCATGGCCCCAAAATACGTCCAACATATTAGCAACCAGCACTGCTTATAAGGTCCTAGCTCTGGATAATCACTTCCGATGTGGGATCTCACAATGACCCTCCCAAAGATTTTGATAAAATTATACGATGGTGTTGCATCTTAAAAGCTCCAGAGAGTTTGATGAATTTGTGTCGTTTGACATCATGTTTTTTATTGACTAATAGATACTCTGATGAACCTTTGATCATACTTTATATTCTTACTTGACTCACTTGCAAGTTAAATATTTTTAACACCCATTGTCACAATTGCTTTGATGTGCAAGTTGTACTTTCTATATTGTACTCATATAATGTTTTATATATTTTATTTGTCATTGTTGATTTTTTTTTTTAACCTTTAAAATAAGAAACCTTTGTGTTTAGTTTTATAGTTTGTGATATTATATGTTCTTTTGATAGATGGTTTTGCTTGACTTCATGAAATATATTAATTAACAAACATAGGTTGTAATTTTAGTTTCTTACAAAAATAGATAGATACATGACTTTATTTAATGCAACTAATTATGTTCATGAACTTGTTATGGTTAAACAAATACATGAAAGAATGACAATTCACAATTTTTTTATAACCTAATTTTTTACCATCCTTTTTATATATTTTTTGAAACTTAAAAAATCTCAAAAAATATTTTTTTGTCATTTTTAATTAATTTTTATTTGTTGAAATAATCAAAAACATATAAAAAAAAATATAGTTGATGTTGAAATTAGACCAATAATTTTTAATTAATTTAGACTATAATCGAGGTTTGAATTGAAGAGAAATAAGAAAAAAGGCTTAATTTTATTTAATTTGGCTAAGATCAAAAGAAATTTAAAGTTTAAGTATGAGTTCAAAATAAATAGTAAAGTTAAAAATCAATTGAGGGCTTAATTGAAGAAAAAAATCAAAATTAAAAGTTAAATATGTTATAATTACATAATTTTGTGAACCAATGATGAATTTGCAACACATGATTAAATATAAAGGTCTAAATTGATTCAATTGAAAGAACAAGATGATTTAGGGCAAACTAAATGAAATTGAAAATAAAATCAAATATCCAAAAACTACAAAGAAAACAAGGAAATTTTTGTCCAAATTTGTTATTTTAGTTCAATTCAATGAAGATAATTTAATTTAGTCCAAATTATTCATTGATTTCAGTCATGTTTGTTCCATTTGAGTCCAGTTGAATTATTTTGATTCAATTAGATTCCCAATTAATTATTCCAATTAAATCAAATATTTAATTCTAGATTCCAAAGATTTCAGTTGATTAAGCTGCAATTAAAAATCTAGAAATTCAATTCAAAAACCTCAGCACTAATCTCTAAATTCCTTAATCACATCCCAAATTTCAATTCAAATCTCCAGGAATCAAGTTCAAAAATCATTCAAAACATCATTAATATTAAGCCTATTCAAGAGTCCTCACAATGTCCTTAATGATCTCCATACCTTGATCAACATCACTAGGATAAGCTTTGTCACTATTGTCCTTTAGGGTGTGTTTAGTAGTGAGGTTACTGTTATGGTTGTGGTTTTAAAATTTTTTTATAAAAAGTACTTTTAGTTGAGGTTGATTTAAAAAAATATATGTTTAGTTAAAACTGTGGTTGAAATTGAAGTTAAACAAAAAATAGTTTAATATATTTGGTTAAAAAAATACATTTCATATTGAGGTTATAAAATAATTAAAAAATATATATTAATATTAATAATATATTTAAATATTGTAGATTTAAATACTATTATTACATCATGAAATAAATAATATTGATATCAAATATTTTTTATTATTCCATTAAACTAAATGCAATATCATCACATACGAAATCTATCCAACAATGACTATATTTTTTATAGTTTCTTAAGCACATAACAATAAAAACTGAATTAATTCACTCGTTATTAAGTGATCTCCTTCTAATTTTTTGAATAAAATATAATTAAAATAAACACAAAAACTGATTTTTTTTAACTAAGTCGGACTCGGCAAGAACATAATTGGAATTGCGATCAAATTCCACAAATATTACATCATCATACGATATCTTTCTAATATATGTAGTGTTATTAAATACTAGTTTTCGAGTAAAACTCAACTATTTAAAAAAAATTATAATTTCATTATGTACAAAATTCATTCAATAAGAATTATAGTTTTCATGATTTTTTGAGCGTACAATAAAATTAGGTACAATATTATTAAAAATAAAATTGAGATTACAATACGAGCTAATTTAATTTACTTTAAAAATCAATGCGAATAAAATTAATTAACTGCACTGGTTTTATTAAGAAAAAAAACTAAACTTTTCGGGGAACGGGGGAAGTGAATTAATTCACTCGGATTGGTTTTTCAAAAAAAAAATAATTTAAGTTTAGTAAACAGTATGAGTGAAAATTTACTGGCACTCTACAGTGGAGCCATGCTCCACTATATAGCTTCTTGCCCCACGAAAAACAGCATTTTGCTGCTTCTCTAAAACCTACAGTCTCATCTTGATTTTCAATGGGTCCTATCAGTAGGAAGCAATTTTTTTTTTTGTTACTAAATGATATTCAATATGGTTGCCGGTGAAATTCACCCGCAGCCAAATAGGCACTTAGTGAAATCAATCCCACTCTGATGTAATTTAATATAGAATATAACATAATGATACAAGGTTTTTTAATACTTAAAAACCCTGAAAAAAACACAATAAACTACGAAACAAAACTTAAAGTCTCAGTAAATCATGGATATTCAATAAACGGTGGTTAAAAACCTACAAATAGCACAAATAATTTGTCCTACTTGATTAATGGCTAAACTAGAAAATTAAAAATAAACCAGAAAACTGGAAATTAATTCTAGAAATATGAAAATTAGAAAGAAAGAAAAAATCATTTCAGAGGGTTTATGAAAAAAAAAAATGGAATGGCCTCTGACAGCTTTTGTGGCCTTATGATTTGCATCAACTGGATACTCAGACCAAAAACTATGAGTAGTATATGTTTTTACTTCGAAGTCTTTTCTTATGCTTTTGTGTATCAGTGTGATCCATGAACTCATTAGCTAGATAGCCAACATCATTGTTTTTCATCTTCAAGAATAAACAGCACTTCAATTATCTATCCGAGAAAAATAAATATATTTTTCTTTCTTTTTCCTTTTTATTTTAAGAAAAGATTCAAACATGATACCCTTTGAAAAAAGGGATATTAGTCCATATAAATAGAAATTCAAATATTCAAAACTAAGATGCTATTTAGCTAAGATCGAAACAGTAACTGCTAGGCTAAGTCATCCACACACATAATATAATCTAGAGATTAAAACTTCAGTGCCTAACATATTTTTTAGGTTGATAACCACTAGGCATCACGTGGGTCTGAACTACTACAAGCACAGTGTAAATTGGCCAGTGGTTTCTAAAACCTCTAGATGGATTGACCACGGACATGTGGGTTTCTTGCTCAATACATGAATATGCACTAACTAGCTAGATAAGGTCACGGAACTTGGGCTAGAACAGTCCCATCGAGCTCTCTGTTCTCACACCTAATTCCCCCATCATGGAAGCATGTAGTGTTGACCATGAATCAAACGCCAACTTGCAACGCATGTAGCATCTAGTTTTCAAGAACCCAAAAGCACAGCCTCTGAACACAAAACAGTCACCATGCTTTCCATGTCTTGTTTCTTTCTCCAATCACTTTAGATACCCAAACACCTGTAATCCACCGAAATATTCCAGCCTATGGACAGAAAGATTGGTTTTGTCATGCGCTTTAGTAGTCACTGTCATCATACGTGATGGTTCATGAAAACCACAGTGTTTTATGTGTTGTAAATGACGTAGATGAAGAATTTTGTGACAGAAGAGTGTTAATTGATACATCCAAGCCGCTTAGTCAAATCGAAGTAGTGATCGTATTAACACTGTTATCACCAGTGTGCACGTAAATCATCCGCAGTCCTCAACAAAAATGTTGACCTTCCCGTCATCAACTACTACTATCTTTCTTCTCTATGTCCATATTTTCGTGCTTCAAACGTTCAAATTCAACTGGATATTAATCATCGACGACAACAATACCTTTCCAATTTCGGGTCAGTTTTCCCTGACTCCTGCATGCAAGCTGTCCTTCTAATTAGGGCTATATATAGATATAGTCATATTTAAACCATTGGGATAAATGTGAATTGGGTACATTAACCCTAAAAACCTAGATTGGAGATGCAACATACATCTTGAACTTGAAAGAATGAATAAACACATTTTATAAATAGTAACATAAAACCACTTCAAATCCCAAGAGATTCCCTAGTAACTTAAGATTTTTCAGTG